CTCAAGAATGAGCTCAAACTCGTGAGCCTTAAGTCCGTGAAGAGAGTGGACGTCCGATTCGATCCCTTCCACCCAAACGTGTCGTCCATTAGGTCTGTGTCTCGCCATCGATGCGATTGTCGTTTTGCGGAATGATTTGTTGATTTGTTTTTTTGTGGTATTGTTTTGCAGAGAATTCTTGACAGCAATCAGTGAACCGAAAATCAGGGCAACGAATCCCAAGTGTGGTCTTAAGAGTGATATTGTCTGCAAACGCGAAGAGCCAACCATTACTGTATCGCTGGGTATGTAGTCATCTGTATTAAGACACGAGTGTATCGCGTCTTTTAGTGGTCGCTTATAATGTCTTATAATTTCTGGTTATATCTGTTGTGCAGAAAGTGGTAAACGAATCATATTTAAGACGAGTTTATTGTCGACCCTTGAAATCGCCGAAAACTACAATCAAATACTCAACCGATTGACACAAAGCGACAAAAGCGAGACATAAAGCGCAGGAATTGGAGGTTTGGTGTGTGCGAGACATGTCTAAACACGGCGGACATAATGTCAACCATTTGGCCACTGATATGAGTTTGTTGCAAAAACTCTACCACAAGATCCCGGCCTTTGACGAGCTCTTCGACGAGCAAACCTTCTATGTCTTTGAATAAATATTTTCTATGTAATTTCATTATACAGGTAAAGGTGTAAAACTATAAAACCTGTCGTTAATTAAATACATAGAAAATATTTATACCTAAGATAGAATGCCAGGCATAATAATTATCGCCTGGTTGCAAGCAAACTATTTTTAGCATTTTGAAAGACCTTTCGAACCCATTTGGAATTATCCTGATACATTAATCCAGTGCTAAGATAAATGGGTTTAAATGTACAAATTTTAAAATAAAATATTTATTTAAAAATCAACAAGACAAAATTTTGAGAAATCCAGAATTTAGTTTTTTGGTATTGACCCTGTGCATCAAATCCAAAAATCAAAACCTAAAAATATTGGATACTTTTCAAGTAATTTAGGATTTACAAAAACTACCGTTCCCTACCGTTCCTTTGAGAATTAAGTAAAAGTTGACCTATCCACGTTATCGTGCCAAAAATCCATAGTTGCAAATAATTTTGTTTTAATCTAGCTCAATTCTAACATACTAAATTTAACAAAACGAGTCCGCAGTATTTTGGCAAAACTTTTATAAATAATAATTACAAAGTTATAAAAAACGATTTAAACACAAAATTTAAAATGTAATTAGCAATATTTTTGGAAATATCAATTTGTACCACGTTTATAATATCAACATAAAAAATTACAAAATTAATTATAACATTATTACTTAATATTACAAATTATAATTACTCCATAACCTTTTGAATTGAAGTACCTAGCACACAAGAATTTCCAACTATACAATAGTTAATACTATAAATAGTTTAAAATTCAAAAATTAGTTTAATTTTTGGTTTGTAATTTTTGTAACTAATTAATATTAGTTAAAATTATATTCTATTATCATCTGTTTATAATTGTTCCCTATTTGAAAATATCTTGTTGATAATTTATATTTAAAATAGGCGCATAACATTTATACAATAAAATTATTTTTCAATAAAAATATTATGAATAATTACTGAACACAATAATTATTAATAATGTTGTGTACTAGTATAACAAGCATATTTATAATAATTGGACTTAACCATGCATAAGTGAGACATTTTTTTATCAACACTCAACAAATGTCTCATTTATGCATGGTGAAATCCAATTATAAATTATTACTTATAGACTGTAAACTCGTATTACAAGTCTAATAATGAAAACTAATTTTTAATTAAATTTTCAAAAATTATATAAACATTAAAAATACATCATTACGAAGTTACAATATTGTGGAAAGTGGTTGAATATTAATTTCTGAGCTTGAAGATTAATTTCTAATGTCTTAAAATATACTGTATAATTATTAATTAATTTTACTAAAGTATAATAAAAAAATATTAATAACCGTGGTGTCATAAAAAATATGCAATATAATTTAATATAATTTTGATATATATTTTTAAATGATATAATAAAAGTAAATGATAAGTAAAATAAAATATCAAAATATGATTATCTATTATAATAATGAGTATTATCGAAATATATTGAAACCTACGTAAATACGATCTACTTGAATTTATTTATACCTGATTATAAAACTTATTTATTACTATATATTTCATGTTATAAAATTAAAAATATAAATGCTTGTTTTATTAGCTGATATAAAATACTATAGTTACAACATTTAACAATATAATGTTGCTATCTCATTTATAACTACATAGATAAATAGGAGCTTAATATGCGAATAAAATATATTAATAACTGAATTTGTGTGAGCAATTAAATCAAGCAACAAGCTACACGAAAATGTCCCGTAAAGTACCTAGCTCAAATCGAGCGCAGAAAATCATTAATTATACTATTGGTGACAACGCGGGCATACACTTGACCGGTGGTGGCTATATCAACGATGATCCGGCTAATACGGGCGGGCAGTATACGTCAGGGGTTTCAAATAGCGCCAATTTGTCGCACATGACCATGAGCAACATGAGCAATATGAATTTTATTCAAGGATCGTCAATTCAATTGGGAGGTGGTGGTGGTCGTAGTGGTAGTGGTAGTGGTGGTGGCGGTACTGGTGGAGTTACTGGTAATGGTGGTGGCAGTAGGGGGGCCCGGCAACAGGTATGTACATAATGTAGTAATATGTCAATTATTAGGTACAGTATTATTATTATTTATTACTAATTATGTAGGTAGTAATTATGCGATAATTAGTGTGTTATAAAATATTTCTAAATAAATTATACTAGCATAAGAATTAATATATTACTAAGTATTTGATTTTTTGTATGAAGTTAGCCCAATGATAAAATTGTCAATGACTCAAACATGATTGAAACCTCTATAGATGGCCATGCTTAGCACCCCGGTTAATATACAGGGTCCAACAGATATTAATTACCAGGCTAATATTAATAAGCCGAGTACGTCGGTTATAAATGATCAGGTGAGATTAAAATAAAAATAATTTTAAACTAATATCTAGATATCGGTATAGAGAAACACATTGGCCAGGGATGTGGCACCAAAAATAAATGTGCCTGTTATTTCATGCAGCATATTTGATTACCTATCAACAATTGGGCACGGTGCTTTTAGCAAGGTATTTAAAGTGAGAATAAAAGAAAATGGTACAATTCGAGCCGCCAAGCGTATCGAGATACATGGTAATTTAAATATTAACAAATTATCTAGCTTATTTTATTTATACGTTCTCAATTTGCGTATTTAATTAAACTCGTGCATGTAGCTTTTTAGCGTACCAAATATTCGTGTACAATAATTAATCAAATGTTTTAAGGGACTAGCGATCGAAATAATGCACTGGATGAATTTACCAAGCTCACACAGCTCGACCCGGATTATGTAGTTAAATGTCACGACTGGTGGATTGAGAATGATCACTTTTATATATTTATGGACTATCACCGGGACACGTTGCGAGATATTATCGAGCTAAAACCCGGTGTATATGACCGTGACCAGGGTCAACCAATGGACGTAACTGAATTTTATATGTCGTGCCAAATATTCCGCCAATTGCTCGATGGGGTCAACTATTTGCACGGTTTGCGTCCGAAAATGATTCACCGCGATCTAAAACCCGATAATATACTGGTGTCCTATGCAAATGATCCGGCTAGATTTGTTAGATTATGCGATTTTGGACTCGCTGTTAATCATGATAAAACGTGTAATAACCAGGGTAGTAATTTTCACACTCACGATGTCGGTACGGTACGGTACCAGGCGCCCGAAATTGCCCGTGGTAAGGGTGGCAACGTAAAGTATAATCATAAGGTTGATGTTTATAGCGTTGGGCTCATTGGGTTTGATTTGTTTGAGCTGGATCAATACGAAAGGTATAGTTTTATGTTTGTTTGTTCCTATTAAAATATTTTATCTAGTTACGTTAAATTGCAATAGTTGTATTTGTTAAAATCAAGTTTATACTGAATTTTTAAAATGTATTAATTTGTAGCAATGATTTCACTTTTAGTTACCCAGATCACTCAATTGGGAACTCATTTATTTATTTGTTATATATATTAATATTAAATTAATGTTGCAATAAAAATTTTTATTCATTAACAGTTCGAAAAATGGGGAAACTGACCAAGATGATGATGAAAATGTCAATTTTTTAAAGTCTAAATTAAAAGTTATGGTAAAAGATGATCCTGATGAAAGGCCCGAATGTTACGAAATGTTGGCTAATTTCGAAAATAATAGGTGCTTGGCAATTAATACAAATGTAATAAAGGATGGCACACTTGCTTCATTAATTAGCAAGCTAAAGGATGATGAAAAATTAAAGTTTTTCTATGAGTTTTTCGAGAAATGTCAACTAGCTACTCATAAATAAAATCTAATTTAAATGCTACATGCTTTTTCTGTTATAAGTAGATTATGAACTTTAAATTACCGAGTTCACTTTGTTTAAAATTATTTGCAAAACTGAATTATATTTTATTTTAAATATTATAATGAATATTTTAAAATTTTAATAAATATAGACTATGTTATCTAGTAATTTATTTTATTATTTTATTGTAATATATAGAAATTATAAATTACATTAATTTATTATCTCAACTTACAAAAGGTTTATCTACACAGATGAGTTCAGAATAGTCGGCAAACTTTTTTAATTTTTTTAATTATTTCTCAAACTATACATGGAATCATAGTAATATCAATACCTGTTAATTATCCCTCAACATATTTGCCCCGAATACTATTATCTACAAGTTTATAAATAAATACATCATTTAACATAATGTTTAATAAAATATATATCGTTGGAAAGCATATTTCATACTGATTTCAACAAAACTTGAATGAAAGTTCTATGTTGACCCGTTCAAAAGTTATACTGACCACTGTCCACTCATTGATCTTGACCACTGACCAATATGATATGGGTATCGTTGAAAAGCTTATGTTGGTATGAACTCATCAAAAAAGGTTTCATCAAATTATCACTTACCGTTTTCTAATTATGAATTTTTCAAAGTATTAATTTTTAACATTATGGGTATAGGAAAAAGTTAGTCCAACAATTTTACATTTTGAAAATTTATTAAAAATACTTCCAGTCATCGTATTTTGGTAAAATTTGGTTATCACAAGCGCCTCACTTAATAATATTTTTGATAATTATTTCAAGATAATTGGATTGATATTTAATTTTTATTTTTCAATTTTAGTAATATTTATGTCTATTTTTCATCACAAGTATACTCTGAAAAGCAGTAAAAGTTTATAATTTCAACTAAAAGTAGTCACTTATAAAACTGTTGTGTTCTTGGCTTGTCCGAGCCAAAAAAATCAACACTTTTTTTAGCCAAAAATTCCAACACATTTAAAAATGGCGATTCTATGCTCTAAATGCAATTCATATCGTCCTAATCATGAAGTAAGGAATGGTGTTTGTGAAGATTGTTATGAGGATAACGAACTAATCTCTGTACGAGTTCAACACAAGTCCTATTGGAGTGGGTTTGAAGTTTTGATTACATTTTGGACAAGTTGCTTCCAGTAGATGTCCGATAAACATAATTGCTTGTGAAGACTGCTGACATCTCGGACATTCATAAAGAAAATTTTGGACGCTTGACGGTAACTTTCGCAAGAAATCCTCTCCAACTTTTCTCTTCTTTTCATCAAACGCCTTTATTTCGCTTTTCTTTAAATTATTCAGAGTCCAAAAAACATCAAAAAATTTCAAGTTTAGAACAGATTCATCTCTAACTTTGAAAAAGCCTCCGTCAGCGAATTTGGTACCCCACGAGTTCATGAACGTCAAGCTTTTAGGATCGCATTTTATTAAAACAACAGCATGTCCACCTAACTTTGTTAGAGGTTTGTTTGTACATAAGTATTTTCTTTCAAGGATGCCTTTCGGATAATTTTCATAAAAGTTCGAGAAAGCTCTCCACTGCTCGTTATACAAACAAAAAATTGCGATAACGGGACGCCGTGCATTGATAGCTTTTCTTGCTCCGAGTTCATCAACTGTTTTATATTGAAGACGATATTTTGGAGTCCAGACTCTAAGAACGTTCTCTGTATGAGCACCATCCTCACCATATTTAGCTATCAGCTGATTACAGATATCTCTGAACTCGGGAACTCCGCCTTCTCTTCCTTCGATTCGTTTCATAGCCAAGTGAAGCACAGCAGCGACTGCATTAGCATAGCATGTGCCGCCGATTTGCTCATTCGGCTCAAAAGTCGAAATCGCCGAGTTAATATACTGATCAAGTGTAACACGACCAAAAATATTTAATAATGCATCGTTACTCTCAATCACCCGACGAGCGAGACTGGTAAACTCATCAATCACATCAGGGTGATTCGCTTGTGTGAAAAGGCGGCTGTGTCCAGCTGTAGGGAGTTCCCATCCCTGCTCCAAGAGAACTGACATTGCCGAGTGAGTGTTCTCTACAGATGAGCTCAGTTCAAACATATTGCACTGTGCTCGTGTCCAGTTTCCTTCTGCTTCATAATACAAGCGTCTCGGATGCGAGATATTCTCATATGTTAATAAGCAGACAAAGACGAGAATATCGGTCTCACGGAGTTGCTGTGCGAACTCAAGTGGATTACCATCCGTTGCTTCTCCATCCGTAAGAAGAAATAAAACTTTATCATTATGACCGCTATAATTAAGCATCTCAAGCGCTGATCTCAAGGCTTCACACATCGGCGTGTTGCCATAGATGTGCGGCTCAATTGAAGCCACGAGATTAGAGAGCTGAGCAGCTGAGAAAGTTTTCCCTCTAGACGATGAAGTCGTTCCAGCGACTGTATGTAACAAATCAATCGTTGACTTTAATGTTTTCTTTTTCGGTTGCTTCATTGCTCTTAATTCCTGTAACAAGTTCTTGCGAATGATGGACTTTGCCTTCTCAATAGCGCGATCGGCATGCTTTCGTGTAACTTTCTCTTCTTGATTGTTAATACCTTTAGCGCCTAATACGGTTGATGTGCCTAATACGGCAAGTGGAACGCCGATTGGAGGGAAAGCAGCCGCTAAAATGGTAAGTCCGATAGCTGTCATACCAATGGTAACCTTGCCAGCAGTATTTTTTCTTAAATTTGTAACTTTTGTAGCACCATTTGTAAGACCTCTGCTAAACTTGCCTTCAAATCCATCTTTGCACTCCTCTGGTAGATCTTTTACAGCCTCTCGTAACTGTGATAAATTTTTCGAATAAAAATCATAAAGGAATACAGCTTCTTCCTCTTTTAAATGCTTTTTGATGTATCCCCCTGCATGCGGTGCTCCGTTCTTATTTAATAATTCAATCAATGGATCATATCCAATCACTCTTCTCTCATTTAACGTTTGATTTTTCTCTAATAAAGAGAGTAAATCGCATGTACTGACCTCTGCTAATCCAAATGCTAAGACGAAAATTTCTTGATCGTTGTTAGATTTGACTTCGCGTTCTGCTATTTTGATAATTGTTGCGAAAATTGATTCAGCTCTGGTCACGTTTTCATCTGTTAGGTGAGCATTCAGCTGAAGACTTTCTTTCATTGAGCCTGAGACATCGACTAGTAGTCCTGTTAGCATGTTGAGTTAAAGTATGTGTTACACGTAATGCACTCATTAAATGAAAAAAGAACTAGCGAAATAAAGGTAGATGAAACATCGTTTAAATGCGCATACATTAGGAATGAAATGACTTCTTTCTGCAATGAGCACATATATACTTGCTACTAAATAGTAATAAGAGTAGTAAATGTCAAGAAGTAAACAATCTTATCCCTTTCCTACCCTTTTGAAGTAGTGATTAGTGATATTGCACTCCACAAAATTTTTCAAGGATTTTTCATAAGTTAGTGAATAAACGTAAGCCTAGAAACAATCCAGAATAATTTTTCTTGCATAAGCACATAAATATTAAGACGCAAAATAAAATTATCTCTGAATAGGACAATACTTATATTTCGAAGATCTTAATTAGCACAATACAATCTTTAGGTACATTATGAAAGTATAATTAAATCATCTATATCAAGTCGTGTTTTTAATTATACAAGTAAACTAATAACAATAAATGCTTCGAATGATAAACTCTATATAATTGTAGAAATAGGGAACGCTACACCTTAAGTATGTAATTT